AGTGCTCGCTTATCAGACCGTCGAACACTTAGTCGGAAGAGATGAAGGTGCGCGGCACTTCATCATGCATAAGAAGCCTGAAGTGCGGTGGCTCTGTCAAGAGCTCGTCATTCGATGTCTCACGTTCTTGAAGAGGAATTCACCAGAACTTTACGGTCTCGATGCCGACGGTGGTATCATCACAAAGCCTCCTGGACTCATCTGTCAAGTTGCACTAGGCCACATGAAAGCGAGAGATGATCTTCCCTATAGATCCAGAGTCTGGGGAGAATACCTGGGCCTTGCTGGCCAGATAGCATTGCTTGGGCAACCCGAGACGGAGCTGATGATCAGAGCCGGGAATCTGAAATGGTGTCTGGACGTCCTCTATCTCCAAGAATGGGAAGATGCCCAGCTGAGGCTTCCAGAGATTTACCAGTATATGCAAACGAACCGCAAGTACAACCTTTCGGCAGTCATCGATTGTATCGCTGCCCTGCTTTGCAAGCATGTCACCATTTTCCGGCGTAATGGAGGAAGGAATGGTAACCAGGCCGACAGCGATCTTGTACTCTTGAATGAGGAGGAATTGGAAATGTTCTGGCGCGAAGATGAAGGAGAGTGCAATTTTTTGTCCAAGAAGTTTGTGACAGGTACGGAAAGAACAGGGAACCGTGAGTGTCTTCAAGTTTTCGTTGTCTTCCAGATCAGATTCTAACACCTGTGATTAGATCATTGAACGATTGGACCCCTGGAAAACTGGTCGACCTTTTGACCGGCACTAAGACCCCTACGAGGCTGCGTTCAAATGTGATCAAGACTCTCATCCATGCCCTTAAAGAATACGAGGAGCCTGTTCCTTTCCTCAAGGCTGCATGGTACTACTGCCGGAGTGGTTACTTATCCGACGCGAAATTCGAACTCATCGAAGCCGCCGCGCGTCTGGCTCATCGTGTCGAATGGCTTGCCATACCCAACGTTCGAACATTCATGAAAGACACTTTCCTCTATGAGCCAGTCAGCGTCCTAGAGTGTACAAAGCACTGGATCTTAAAGTCGTTGCATTGTGCGGATGAAGACGTGGAGCAAGGCACTCTCGAATGGCTCAAGGAGCACATCTTCGATCACGCCTCCATCACGATACCGCAAACGGACACCAGCATGCGCCTGGATGTCTACAGAAGTACCGCGGCGACAGTCCTCCTCGGGCAGTGCAATCACGCGATCCGGACATCTCTCAAGGAGTGTGCGGTGAAAGGGGACTTTCAGCGTGTGATCGATGCTTTTATCGGTTTGTTCAGGCATCTCCGGGCGCTGGTTGAGACTGCCGATGCGCTGGAGGAGGAGCAGGATCAAGGAAGTTTGTCGGCTGTGGAAGCAGGCGAGAGCACTGCATCAGAATCTAGCGGCGACACCGGCACCAGCTGTGAGGGTGCGGCTAATCATCTTGGAGAACACAAAGTGCACTTGGACGACGCCATGCAACGTGCGGTCACCGAAGCGAGGGTGGCCATACGCGAGAACGCCCAATTGTTCGACATCATCCAGGATTGGTCAGAGTCTGGGGTGGAGGAGGAGGAGGCTCCAAAATCGAGGCCAAGAGGTCGCGTCAGTGTTGTTGGGGAAGAAGATCATGAGAATGGTAAGTTCTCTGTACCCTCGAAAGCGTTCAATCACTGATTTGGGGTGACAGACGTGAGTGTAGAGGGCTCGGATGCCGAGGAGACGATACTGAGTGAGGGCTGTTGATGGCCCTATGTTACGACGCAACACGGGTGATGACGAACGAAAAAGGGAATGACACTCTCTACGGATCACGGATTACGAGCTACGGGCTGAGAGCTAAGGGCTGCGGGTTCGCATATGCGAGAAAATCATCAGCAATGGCGTCTAGGAAGTGAACGAGATGGGAAAGCAAAGGGATCGCTGGAGATGCATTGCTGGCGTTGCGAGTTATCGAGCGCTTCATAGCTCGTTTGTATCATGCGGTGGACGCAAAATTCTGCCATGCTTCTCCTCTCCTCATGTCTCCCTTTCAAGCAGAGTATCCGAAACACAATAGTCTGCTAAGATGGTTTCGCTCGTCAAATCATGTATATGAGAAATGCCTGATGTATACACGTATCTGCCCTAGGTCGCATTCCGCCAAGTGGGTTGTCCTATTTATGATATTTATTCGATTTTCCAATTCTAATTGCCAAGCCAGGGGTACCTTCAGTAATCAATAGGGATCCTCCCTCCTCTTAGCTTCCGCAAAGTCCTCACATACGAGGACCTGCGGGTCCTTGCCGCCATCGTGGTAGTACTCTTCCTCGACGTCAACCTCCTCTCGCACCATGATGCCTTGTGACGGGAGGATGTCTTTCTGGCTCTCTGCGGCGTCGTCTCCAAGACAGCGGTTGCTCGTGATCTTTGACGTGTAGTGGTCCCGGTCCTGTGACGGTGCCAGCTTATTGAGCATGAAGCAGTTCCGGTTGGAGTTGTGGAGTGTGGGCTCGCTATGCGGGTAGGCCTGGGGCGTGGGGTCTGGGCCGAAGACGGTGGAACAATTGCGGATGAGCGGCTTGAGCGCTGGCATGGAGCCGGCGATGATTCCTACACCACTCTCAACTATTGACCATGCAGCTATGTCGGTCAAGCGATCTGTGTGACCTGGTTTAGCAATGCCACTTCGTGACTGAGGCCGAGCTACACTTACAGAGGAAGTCAACCTTTGCGGTGTAGGAGTGGAAGTATTGTAAGCGGAAAATGGTGGCTAAACTGGCTCTGTTGCACACATTGTCAGTCGCAGCGTGCATGATGAAAGGGCAGTCAATATTACAGGAACCCAAGACTTGGAATGGCGGAAACGGTGAGCTTCAGGCGGCGCTTCATCTGAAGCTTCCAAAGGATGATGGATGGGATGATGGAACAGGAGAAGTCGGTAATGATGGACATGACTGAGATGAAGTAGGATACACCGACAAGGACGTTCATGGGGGCGCAGAAACCGCCAGCATGGTCGGGATCCCATCCGGCGGTGATCGGGTGGCAAAGGTTGAGCAGAGTAACCTCTGTGATGAAGCCCGAGACGATACTCAAGCCGAGGACAATATAGAGAGCGATGGCCAGAGGCCTTTGAACAGCAATTCGTATGAGGCCGACGCAAATACTGCTCTTGATGAATACAAGAGCGACGATATAGAAGTAGGTGAACATGTTGTAACCCTGATTCCGTCAGTGAGCGGTATTCTTCCCATCATCCACTGCAGGGAGACCTACATGTCTGCCTTGGATCTTGTCCGGCTCGGTCAAATAGCGATCTCGCTGGCCAATCCCGTGAAAGCATGCGAACGAGGTGGCGATACAGGTCGCGATGAATAATGACTTGCCAATCCAGAGTCAGCAAGTCCTCCGCTCGGCGTTCTATGAGACATCCACACCTGTGCCACGAGCATAAGCCAGTCATCCAAGGCGAAGGCCCGAATTTTCCGCCGTGCAGAGCATCTCAAAGTGACAACGATGGTTGAGAGGAATCCCAGGATAAGCACCAAAACGAAGAGAGTCAGTGATCGCTCATTGAGCTTCACCACCATGTTTGACAATCGGACCAGGAAAGCAGCTGACAGGTGGAAAGAGATGCGTCTCCAAGTTAAACCATAGGATGGAGGCAGCGATCTCTTTTTACAATGCGACAACTCCTTCTCAGGTCATGACTAGCATGCTCCACTGTTTCTGCGCCGGACATCATGGCGAAACAAGGATCTCCGCAACTAGGAAAGGCTTCAGGCTACGCAACCGGGGAAAGCGCTGCCCGAGACTCCCGAGAAGGAAATGTAGCAACGACGTTGTGAGGAAACCACAACCCTGCGAGCTTTGCTGCGATGGTGTCTGATAGGCACCGGAACACTGAGTGTGTCAAGTTGGTAAGTAATCGATTACTGCTCCGATTATCACATCGCATGATTTCCTTCGTGAGATCTGTCGTGCACATACTGGCACAGTTCACATGAACCACAACCTCGTCATCCAGAGGTGCCTTCTTGCTCGACAGATCTCTTCAAGATGAGCACTCCTCCCCGCTGCTGAGTTGTTTAGGCTGACTTCAACCGGGCACACGACCTTTTCGAACCACGTGGCAGTCCTGGTTTTCAAAAATGGCGTCCGGGACATGATTTGATCGCCGAATGCTGTACAAAGCCCCTCAGAGTCTTGTCTTGTGCCTGGTGGCTCACTGACAAGTCGCAGAACCGGGAGCAACATCTATACCCTGTTGACTTCAGCATCATGGCGTCAAGATGGAGAATGAATCTCGACTCGAAACGCTCCAGAAAAGGCTCAACATGATGATCTCCTACCAAGAGAGTACGGTCTAGTTGTAGGGCTGTAGATTTTGCCCGGTTCCAGATCATTAGCTCCCATGTGCATTGCCGTAATGACGACTCTTCTCGTGAAGACTCGAGATGAGTTGAGTGCGCGTATCCCGCTGCGTCGTTGCTGCCTCGCTACGAACAGTCTGATGAAGGATATAGGGTGATCAGAAGATACAGGCCCTCCTAACCGAACAGGGATGACGACTAATGGTGAAGTGCAGCATCTGAATCTGATGGGACGCCACTCCTAAGAAACCAAGAAGTTCAATCAGATCTGCAAAATGCTATGATTGGCTCACGTAACCTCGAACGCCAAAACATCCGACTGCCAGGGGAATTCCGATTTTCTCAACACACCTCGACGGACAAGGACGAATGAGCGCCCGCTCCTACTAGAGCCACCGTTCTCTCAATGTTCATGAAGACAACACGTGCTTCAATTCTGCGGCTCTGCTGACATTGTACAGCAGCTTCGTTAAGGCTGGTTCCCGGGAGAAGCCCAAGACTCTCGATGGTCAATGTTCGATGCCATCCCTGGACGCATTGTTCAAGCTCCCTTGGCGGTTCCGCTCTGTATCGAAAGCGTGCAACGGCACGAGCCTACGTTTCTTTGACATCCACAATCCGTTATATGTGTTTCCCAAATTTTTGCCACAATCAGACAGCACAGCTTCGATGGTGTAGTGGTATCACACTCGTCTCACATACTTCATAATGTGGGCATCCACGAGAGGCCGCGGGATCGAAGCCCGCTCGGAGTACTAGATCAGTGTCTTCTTTTGCTTGTATGGCATCCTATATCGCTCTTAGTCATGTCTAACCTGTCCTCGCTGATTTAACAGTATGAACTACGCGTCCGCGTGTTGTTGGTCTGTAGCAAGGTTTTAGTATATATGCCGCAGCAAAGTTCCGCGCCGCGAAGCGGCGTGGCACCTAGAATTTGGTTGGTTACACGGCAAATCAGAAAGAAAGTTGTCGCAATCATTTTGAGTCTATATACATCTACATACCACTTATGGTTCCAAATTTGTTCACTGTTGAAAGGGAGCGGTTGCATCTCTGGAAGGGCGCCAAGACCTTCACAATTTGATAGTTCCGCCAACGTTCGCTTTATAGAGTGCAAGTCTGTAGGTAGCCGGCAGAACCTCGGAGTGTTGGTTGAAGGATGAATAACAGCATTTCTCCAACGTTCTGTAGTACTCGGTTCAAGTGCCGTTGCGGCGTCTCACTTCTGCTTCAAGCTCGAGGCCGTGCCCCTGGAAGGCATTCCTTGCGTTTTGTGGGAGCATGAGACCTTCTGTAGCCGGACCTGCGGACCTTTGGACGGGATTGCTATGCCACTAGATCAGGAACAGTTGCCCGAAGAGATTAGGGATCTAGGGGTTTTGACATTTTGCAACAGCGTGGCATCCTCCGTATCCATGACTACCAGAGGATGGTTCCTCTAGAAGCTTCAAGCGCCTGAAGATGGCAACCACGGAGAGCCCTTACACACCGCTAGATGATCCTGAAGACATCCGATTGCTCCGTGTTCTCCCGTCCGTAAATCCTACTGCAGAGCTGGATTTTACGGTGGAACACGTATCACTGAACGACGCGAGTGTGACATACGAGGCTATCTCGTACACATGGCAACCTTCGTACGAGGAGACCGCCGTCGCCGCAGGCAGGCAGCACTACCAGACTGTCGCGGTGAACGGGTTCGTCTTGACGTCGAATGTCTATCTAGCATTACTACGGTTCCGTTTGTCGGACGAACCAAGGATACTATGGGCAGATGCGCTCTGTACAAACCAGGAGGATGACACGGAGAAAAGCCACCAGGTCTCCACAATGAGATACGAGCAGCGCGAGTCATCATCTGGTTGGGTTAGCCGGAGCAAAGCGCGATATACCACAAGGCGTTCAAGAAACTGGAAGAGATTTCTGCGACGTTCCTATCTCATGACGAGGCGCTTGCGCTTCCGTATGCCGGCGCTGCCGCAATAGCCGCCGTCCATCATGCTGTACGATCCCACACGGTATCCGACCCGGATTTCTGGGCTGACTGGCTTGCCGTCGATGCGCTTTTCAGCCTGCCGTGGTTTCACCGCGTTTGGATAGTACAAGAGAGCTTGTTTGCCCGGAACAGTCCTGGAATGCCAACAATAGTGGGTCGTGGTACGAGTCACACAACGTGGGATGTCATGGCAACCTTTGCGGAGGGCTTCCTCCGTTTTCAGGTCAGCCGCATCTTGCCAACCAGCCGAACTGTTCTTTTGGGTATCGATCCAATCCGTTTGATTGGGATCATGGAGGAAGTCTTTGAATACCGTTCATGCGCCCAGCTTTTTTGCTGCATTGGTGCGTATGCGCTCCCGTAAGGCTACGGACCCGAGAGATAAGGTATCTGCACTTATGCATATCATTCCGGGTGAAGCTGTGTCAAATCCCTCGTTAGAAACGGATTATTCGAAGACCGTCCAGGAGGTCTACACGGCAGTAGCGCTGCATTTCCTCCTGAGACGTCATTCTCTTAAGCTTTTGCAGTTGCCGGGATGCACACGTTCCGAACGCTCTCGCATACCTGGGCTTCCTACCTGGGTGACGGATTGGAGCATGGATATCACAGGAGGAACCCCTTTTTTTGAACGGTTTTCACGCTGGGACATCCTCAGCCGGACAATTCACCAGTCCGTTGGTTTCGATCTCCGAAAACCAGAGGACTTTGCGCGTTTTCGGAAAGATTTTGGGCGAAGTAACGGATATGTGTTCATCTAGGGAAAACTACGTCTTGAAAGAAGACCGCATTGCTACCGGAGAGCCGGAGCGGCAAGAGTTTGGTGAAGAAACGATATGGGCATCACAAATATGGTACCGGGAAGCTCTTGCGCTCGTCCAGACTCTGGAACAATATTTTCCATCTACAGGCGAGGGAACTCGTTCCTCTGCAATAGCAATGCATCCTCCCAGCACGATCGATCTCGATGATGCATTCTGGTGCACCCTTATCTGTAATAGCGACGAATCATATAGAGCGGCGCCGACCTCGTACAGGAGGCTGCACCAAGCCTATCACGAATGGATGATCACGCCAGAGGAAAGAGCTTCACCTGAAGCTGAAGCGTTTGGCAATCTCCACTCGCGTTGGATCAACGGGAGATACTTGTGCACGACCCGGCAAGGCAGCATGGGCTGGGCGCCTTCCCGCACCAACATCGGTGATCTTTTTGCGTGCTCGAGGGCGCGGATGTGCCAATCGTGATACGCAGAAGTGGAGAAAGGTATGAGTGGATTGGGAGCGGATATCTGCACGGCTACATGTATGGGGAGGCCTATGAGAACGACAGGGTCCCTCTGAAGCAGATCGTCTTCATCTAGACAGATCCCGATCACACTTCGGCTTTCATGCGCCAATGGAGGTCGAAACAGCAATGGATTGTTCCCACGAACCTGGGCTGCTAGATGTTTCCCCGTCGACCTGATGATAGGCGTCTTAACCCGCAAGACGGCAAACACGGTAAAATTCCGTCAAAAAACCCCCAGTGTGCTGTAGAATAGGAAAACAGTACGAACGTGTGTTATACGAGAGCGCATGGCGCTTCTCCATATTCCATGAAACGACACGTGCTACTGTGCAACCTCTCGCGCTTTGACCGAACAAGAACAATGTCGGAGGCTGGATCTGCCCCCACCGTCTTCTGAAAAAATGAACGATCCATTGAGCTCTCCGAGCAAGCATTCTTGTTTTGCAATTTCTGTCCTCCGCTTCAGATGTCCGACGTGAGCCGGATTTTCGCATGAAACGTCCCTTCCCTCCTCTCCCCTGCCCATAACATCACCGGCTCTCGATCCAAACACTCTCAGCTCTACCTCCGGAACCGTCGTATTCTCTGCACACCTGGGACGGAGGGGAGTGCGGTTGACACCGGCTTGCGCGGTCTGGGTCTCACGGAGGTCGATCTCGCTCTCGCTGTCCTCCAAATCCGGTGCAGCTGTCTCGACCTCGGTTTCAGCAGCCGTTTTCGCCGAACTTTCTGATAGGGCTAGCGCTCCGAAGTATGCGACGTTTGGTGTTGCGTCTGCTTCAATTCTTGCGGAGGTGGAGGAGTACCATGCGCTGACCCGGCTCGAGCTGTCTTCCGCGTCGATGGCAGGGTCCCAATATCCGGATGACGATCCGGGTTGCTGCGTTGGGACCTCTTGTGATTCGCAGGATCCGGCGTCCCAGCTGCTGGCGTAGTCTTCACTATTCTCATATAATAAATAGATTGTGTCGACGGCGGATGCCGTCCTCCAGCAGCTCCCTCTGACCGCCGCAAGCTGTTGCACGTCTTCCTCCGTGACGACGGAAGGGTCGAAGGCTGTATTTGCTGCGCTTTCTTTCGCCTCGTCCGTCTCCGCCAGAGCATCACCTTCCATCGCTATAACATCGATTTTCCTCCGCAGCGGACTCCCACCATTGCACTTGCGACTTCTCACCACCGGTGGTTTCGTGTTCAGGATACTCTTTTCCCATGGAAAGCCGCGGTCAGCTTTCCACTTCAGACGTTGGTATTCCTCGTCCAATTCCTGCGTACGTTGCCGTGCTTTCCCCACACGACGTTCCACCCGCTCCGTATTGTCTCTCTTTGTCACGGCATCCGCCCTGTCTTCCTCCCCTTCAGCCCCGTCATATTCTCCCCGAGCCTGTCCCCATTCTCGTTGACCTCCTTCGAGCTCCGCCGCAGCAAGCAGTCTCCGTGCACCGTCAAGTCTTCTCTCCCATTCCGCTTTGAAAGCTGTCAGTTGGCAGCGCCCGCACTCCCCATCCCCCTTGAAGATCAGCGTCGGTGGGCTCCTGCACGCAGGCAGATCCGGTTTTAGCTTTGCAGACTGCGCGGAGCCTGTGGGAAGACTCCTCCAAGCCGACCGACCGCAACGCGGAAAGTCGGCCTCCGATCCGGTAGACTGGTGGGTGTCCAAAGTGAGAGCTGAACGTGTACCGTAAACGCCGCGGCAAGTGCTCGTCCGGAACGAGATCTTGTGTCCGCAGGCATAGTCGATTCTTGTAGTGCGGCACATGGTGGCTCTTGCTCCGTAGACTTGATGCTGGTATTGATGATGGGCTACGTAGTGATGTTGAAGTGAGAAGAATGAGATAGCCGTCCCAGTTTCTCAGACTGGTGAGTGTGAGAGAGGTGATGTGGTAAGGTCTCAGCTGATGTTCGAGCTGACACAGTGACGGGCACGAGCAAGGCCTGTGATAAGATGTCAGCCGTGGGCTAGCCATGACACACAACGATACGTGGCACATGTGCTGATTCAGATGCGTGAACGATTCAGGTCTTAGACATCAAGCTCGGCTCGCTCAATGATTGCGATGTTCTCCGGTCGGGCTTGTGCAAGTAGTGAGAGATGCAGCTTTAGGACGTGTGATAACGGCTCAGCCAGTGCCCGACAAAACAATGGTATTTCTTTGACTGAATTTGATGGGACGGGTTGGGCAAAATCCTGAGTGGAAGAGTTCCCGATTGTATGCCGGGTAAGCGATACCAGAATCGTTCTTGCCTGAAGCAGCGGTCAACAAAAGTCCACGGGTAACCGCTTCCGCGCGTGGCACTGGCACCTGCTCACGAGACCTAGCCATGACGAATGTGGCCTGCCGATATCTGCTTGAGGGGGCATTGTTGCAGGGGAGGGAGCACGGTAGAACGAAACGCAAAACACAATGTGTGCAAACGCACAATAGACAGCGCAACGGTGAAGCACAGAAGAAAGCGTCATGCTTGTGTTGGCTGCA